GCCCGGCCCAGCGGCCGCGCCGCCCGCTCACATCTTGTCCTTCTGGTGCTGCCGCTTCCCCATGGCGGCGGCTGGGGCGGCCCCGGCGCCGCGCGGCTCCCTCCGGCACCGGGAACAGGGCGCAGCCCAACCGCACGCGCCTCCCTCAGCAGCGGCCGCGGCAACTTCCGGCTGGAGTGCGACAGCGGCGGGTCCGGCCGGGAACACGACGCGGCGAGCGGCGTTCCGGGTCCGTCGTAGAAGATCGTGCAGGAGGGCGGTGTGCGGCTTTCCGGGTCCGGGTGGGAACATGGGCGGCGTGTTGTGTTCCGGCGCCGGCGCGGTTCCCCCAGGGGACGGAGCGGGGGCCGCGCGGCCTCCCCCGTCCCGTCCSGGCCCGGGGCTGCATCCCCCGGGGCTGCCTCCAGCCTCCCCTCCCGAGAGGGACCCCAGGGCACCGCAGGGGCGGCCKCACCCGCTCCGCAAGGCGGGCACGAGCGCTTGGATCAACTGCCCCAACAAAAACCAAGCCCCCACTAACCCCCAGCACCGGCTGTGCCCTCCCGGTGCTCACAGCGCCCGTAGGGCTCTGGTCCCCCCGGGGCTGGCACAGGGCAGGGGCTGTTGCCGCTGCTGCCCTGGGGCTTCCCGGGCCCGAGGGGGCTCTGGGTTCCTTGGGGAGCCGGGGAGAAGACGCGGCCGCAGGGCAGCGGGACAGGCGTTGAAACCTGTGACGGTCTCGCGTTGACTCAAAACCATGCCCAAGTCATGGCGGATACTGAGCACCCACCTGAGTGGCTCGGTCCTGTGCAGAACCAAGACAGCCAGTTTCTTTCTTCCCAAAAGGCTACTTGGTGCTGGGAGAAAAAAAAAAAGAAAAAAAAAACAGAGTTAGAGGTGACAGCTTCGGTTTCAAAGCAACCCCCTAAACATTCCAAAAGGGACCSTCAGCCCCTTGTCATGCTCACAAAACACCAGACAAGGGGGCCGGCCGGAGCTGGTGTTTTCAGCAGTGCTCGGAGCCCCTTCGCGTGGTGTTACCAACACCCCGAGCCCCCAGGGCAGCTGCCCSCCAGCTCAGAGGTGGCTCCAGGAAAATACTGCAGCTCCTCTAGGGCGACCACCAACGCCTGTCTGCTCATCTCTTTGGAAGAAAGAGCACCCAGACAGCATTACTTACATAGGCACATTAAAATGATTCACTGCTGACATTTCTAGAGATTTAAACCCTTTGAAATACCATTACAAGACCAGGTTTTTGTTTTTTAAACCAATGCAGAGTTCATTTATTTTTGTACTTACAAAAAGAGCCACCCCTTTTACATCCCTCCCCCACCCCCCAAATGCCTTTTACAAACATTTAAAAATTAAAAACCAGGTGATGACATGTTAATTTGGTAGAATTACTTTGAAACATAGGTTTTGTAATTAAGAGTTAAATTTTCTACAAGATGACTTTGTAGAGATAGCCTGATTATGGCCAAATAAAATTCCATATTACAAGTTAGCAAATTCTAGTACAAAAATAGTCCATGTGTTAGAACAGCCTCTTATTATTATTATTATATTCACAGGAAAGAGTCTATTGGCTGTATAATACCTTAATATTTATGAAATTTCTTTTTATGTGGCTCATTCATCTAATTAATATAGTGTTGAGCCTCAATAAATCCTCAGGCAAAAAACCCTAAACAGGGTTAAATATGCTGTTCAGTGTACTCTGAAGTGTACTCTGTACTGTGCTTTTCACAGGACATCCAAGAAACCTCACAAACAGTTCTCAGCTAGTTTTGATATTAAAATGAGATCCAGATCCAAAAGGACCCTCCTGAAGTACATATCCACGACTTTCCATGAAAACAGAGGCCCCAGCTTTGGTAGTTAAGTTTCACTTGGGAAACGGTCTAGCTCATCCACTCATATTCACGAATCCGCTTGCGATCTTCTTTAAAAACTAAAGTAGGACTCTTGTGAAACATCTGGAACCCTTAGGTGCTGCTTCTTCATTCTGACAGGGCTCTCCTCTCCTCTGATTAACGCTGTTCAGCAGTTTCTCTCRGACCAGGCCCCTCAGGGAAAATCTGGGGACATGCTACTTGTCTCTCAAGATGTCTAGCTGCTCTTGATATTCTGTGAAAAGCCTCTGGAAGCGAAGGTTCTGTCCAATAACAGGAAGAAGTTCTTTCAATAGTTCTCTCTTTCGTAAACCCTGTAAAAAYACCACAAAATCATCCTCATAACATATTTGGTATCATGAATATTTTCCATGGGACTGTTTAGGAATCACGCTTTTTTCACCCTGCCTGGAGAGCGCTGTTTATCTCATGCTTGTATGCCATGCACATAAATCCCCTCAAAAACTGCTTTTGTATTTATACATTTATGAAGCTGGTGCAACCTTTCAGACTCCAGACGTACTGCTGAGAAAGGGACGTGTTCTGCTGCACGTCCCTATTACAGGGCTGGTGTCTGAGGAATGTGGAGACTTGAATGTGCAACTCTACTCCATCTGCTTGATATTGAAAACAGYACCAGAAAGGCGCCCATGAAATGAAATATTTGTCTACCATTTTACAAGATATAAATACAATTGCACACGATACATAAATTTCACATGATATAAATAGAAATTCATTGCTGAGAAAGAAGTAGAGAATTAAGAGGCTCCAGAATTAGCAAATGTTGTGGTTGCTTTCTTGACACAAAGTTTCAATCGTATATTAAGTTGTATGGACCAAATGTTTTCTGTGATTGGCATGGGAAACTCTCCTTCATTCCTTGTCAAAGCTTACCATTACTGTTGATTCCCACTGGCTTCCAGCTGAGTAATGGACTGGACCCAGTAAATCCTTGCATAATTCTCGCAAACGATATTCAAACCCTGCATATGATCAGAAAAAACAATACAACGATAAACATCTAATTATATATGAGCATTTTGCAAACAAACTAAAACTCTTCAGGTAAGGGTTACAAGCATCTAGAATAAAATAAAATCTAAAAGTACAATTCCTGAAGAGGTTATTTTTTTAACTAACAGGAAATCTTTGTAAAGATAATACGACTAATAAAGATTCATTTCAAATTTCCAAAGGTTTTTAAGATTAAGTTCCCAAAAACAAACAAGGCTAATAAAATTATTCTAAAACAGAGAATACAATTGTAGTAGATATAAATATACACATATATTGCTGGGGTGAAAGAAGAATCCCAGCTATTCTTTCACTTCATGACATGCAGTGATCACCACTTGACTGAGGAACACCACATATTTCACATGCTACCACTGCTTCCCCAAATATGCCAAGTATTGCTGCTAGATAATATATCTAGATATAATGTTGTCCGATAGACAGATCACTGGCCTCTTCCACAATGTAATTCCTATTACTCAAGTCCATAGGTGGCACTGTTTCTCCAAAGCCGCCTCAGCTCATAGCCAGCAGTCAGCACAGAATTCATGGGCACTGAGGACTACAGGAGGCAAACACACTTCAGCCTTTTTTGGTTTTAATTAACCACTGTATCCAGAAGGCAAGTGGTAAATAGAAGAACATTAAAGTACAATCATAAATAAACATCACACAAATAGAGGGTTTCTTAAAAATACATCAGAGCTGCAAAGTCGCTCAGGAGGTCAGGTCTCACCTTCATTAACTAGGTACCGTGCATAGATAAGGAGCCAGTGGCGATATTCGTGACTGGATTGTAACATAAGTGCTGCTGCTATCTGATTCTCCAGGTATGCAAGTGTTGTTTCTTGTTGTACTAAATGAGGCACGGAGAACAATCTGGCAGCTTGTCTTCCTGAACTACGAAATTAAGAGGAAAGTCAGCATGACAGTCATATATTCAGAAGCTAACTTAAAGAACATGTGTTTTATTAATACAAGAAAGACCATATGCATGCAAAAGTTTGAGAGTAGGATAGGAAACCACTTTATGTGCTACCAATAGATTAATTTTTAGTGTCAGCATCAAGAATTGACTCATTGACACTCATTGATTCAAAAATCTCAGTAATGGGGGAAAAAAAGTAAAAAAAGTAATTAACCACATACTTTGATGTTCGTCCCTGTATTACAGCTAAGGGCCCAGAACACAGCATGGCTTCTTGGGACGGTAAACTATTCCTGAAGTCTGCGCATTGCGCTAAGGAGTCCTGCTTGTCAGAAACAAGATTCCTGCAAAAAAGCAAACCAAAAAACAAGTTTGAAGATAGTAAGCAATGAGGTTCATTGGTTCCACTCTGTCCTGCCCYACATTTTCAAAGATCACTAGGAAAAAAAAGAAAAAAAAGAAAAAAGGACATACATCTATATAGACACATATAAATACACATGCTCACACGTCAGAGGCACTTAAGAATTCTCCTGACCAAGATTATTCTGATTCAACATGCAAACTTTGCATGTGCTTTTGCAAAAACATCCCTCTCATGCCAAAGTTAAAAGGATTAATGGCATAATATAATTCAGCATAAACTTTGAAAAACACAAGGAAATCCACACTCAACATGTTATTTTTTTTGTCTASCAAATAGTCAATCCCCAAAAGAAAGTCTGGGGGGAACACACATAATGACTTTCTCATTATGAATCTAATTTTACCTCACATCAGGTCCCAACACCCCCAGAGAAGTCATCACGGACTGTACATTTCAACAACCTTTTCCATACRCTACAACTTTTCCTTCATATTAAGGGGGGAGTTGACAGTTACAGCTGACATTTCCACACCTAATCAAGGGTATCATTTTCACTGGTCTGAGATGCCACGGAAATCAGTGGCTCAAATGAATGCTAAGTTTAGACCTCCAGACAGATTAGAGGTAAGAGAGCAAAAATACTTAAAATAACTGTCACTGCTTTATCATAGTTTAAATCTGTGTTGATGACTAAAGGAAATGACCTTTTATATAATTCCAAAGCTGTGATACACGCCACACACCTTTTTTCTTCAAAAAAGGTTCTGAATTGTGGCTGAGAGCCTGTCCTTTGGTCCATATTGACTGTAAAATAATGTACAACTTACCACGTAGAGAGAGAAGGATTGAAACAATATGCCTTTCCATCAGACATACTCATTAC